AAAATTCCTTTACTAGATGTTTTATCCTGTGCAAGTCATTTATCTGTCTGAAAGTTCAGTTTCCATTTCTGCCACGTGCAGAAAAGTATACTACTGTGCATAGTTTTTGTTAAGTTTAAGGATAATGTACAATCAGCCCCTCTCATAAAGCAGGTACTGCCAAGTAGCTTGGATTCTCATTCAGCTCCAGTAGAACTTCCTCCCTTACCATTACGTTTCATTCTCCTTCTTCAAACCATAAGGAGAAAATGAGTCTAAGGTTTTATCCTTGAACATCACATGCTTACCCATGAGGTTACACAACCATTCACACATAGGATCAGCGTTTGATGACAATGTGATTTTCTGAGTGTCATTAAGTTCCAGAAGTAATCAGTACTCAATAAAATGCCTTTAAAAATATGTAGACAAGTAGCTGACTTCCAAAATAGGTAGATCCCTTAAAACAAACAGTAACTCCATGAAACTCATGAAATTCTATTTCCCGAGATTAACATTCAAGAGATGTTAGGTATGCCATAAACATTGTTTATAGTATTACAGTTATTTTAACTTATTCTTTTTAAGAGTAAATCACATTTACAGAAGCACACTTATAAAGGGCTGGTGAAGACAATGCCATGCGTAATAAAAAGAATTGTTTTTACTCTTGTCAGTGAACAGTTATCAAACATCCATTAGGTACTGAAGCTCATGGAAATGAATGAGAATTAACACATTTCTTATCCAAAAATACATTTTTCAGTGACTTAATTTTTTTCTAGTATTTGGGGTAGTCTAGAAATCAATCTGTTATCAAATTTAAGTTTTTGCAACAGCAAACATTTTTAGATTACAGGAGCATGCACACACGCATGCACGTGCACACACACAGACACACACACTAAAAGCATCTGAAATAGACTATATTCTATTATAGTAAATGCACTCCCTGACTGAGACCTGTTATGCTACCCTGAAGCAAATTATTATAGCCTAGCTATTAACTCCTAAAAACAGGGGTGCTATAATGGAAACACTTGGAGACTAAAGAGTGGGCAAAACTACTATCCCAGCAATGGTGCAGCAATGAAACACATTTGTCTAGTTGGACATGTCATGGCAGGGGTTATGTGTCAGCCATCCCTGCCTTGTAGCACCAACCTGTACTTCCACTCAATTTTTTTTGTCCTTTTACTGTACACTTAAAAAAAATTTGTTAACAGTCTCTTTCTTAGTTTCTTTCTCTTTTCTCCTCTCTGGCAAAATTCTTAGGTCAGATTGGTCTTTTAAAACTGTACCTTCCTCTCCCAACCCAAGAAAAGGGTGGGAGCATTTGTTGAAGCAGAAGCCATGTGTAAAAACTGCTAAAGTAATCAGAAATGAAAAGGCCAGAACTGTGACCCTTGGCAATTTTGTAGCGCCCTTGTTGAGTGACTATATATATGAGTGCACATTTTCTAATGCAACCCAGTAGATTCTGACCATTTTCTAGAGTGTAAGACTATTTTCTTTGAGCTTATGCTAGGGCTATAATACATTGCCATCTAAATTTATGTTGTGAGACAGCTGTTTACTATCTTATAATTAGGTGGGCCAGTAGAATGTGTTTGTATATCTATTAGACATACTCGAGACTTTAAACAAATCATTTGTATAGTGACATCTTGTTAAGAGAAGCACAAAAATTAAAATATCCTACTTAGCTTACAGATTCAAACCACAGGCACAAATAGATAACTGCAAAATTTATCTGAAATCACAAAGAAAATATAAAGAATTGAATGATGGCACATGTACCTCAATTTTAAATTGAGGTATTATTTCCATACAATAAAATGCACACAGACCTTATATGTAACAATTTGATGCATTTTGAGCAGTGGATACACTCACTTGTGTAACCTACAAATCTATTATAATAAGGAACGTTTCTATCATCCCAGAAACTCCTATCCATTCATTCTGTTCCCCTACCAACCTTCTTTCCACAGGAGGCAACACTGTTCTGATTTCTCCTAGTGTAGATCAGCTTTGTCTTCTCTAAAATTACACTGAAAAGTGTAAATAAACACTTTTGCAATTGACTTTTCTCATTCAGCATAATGGTTTTCAAAGTAATTCACACATTTACCTGTATAGTAGTTCTTTTATTTTACTGTCGAGTGGTATTTAATTGCCTATATTCAAATTGATTAGGCATTCGCTCATCAATGAACATTTAAATTGCTTTGAATTTCAGGTTGTTACAAATGAAACGTCTATGAACATTATTGAACAAGTATTTTTTTCAATGTATGCTTTTATTTTATTTTATTTTATTTTGGATAAATACCTAGGAGTAGAATCGCTGAATCACAGGGTAGGTAATTGTAACTTTAAAAGATACTGCCAAATGGATTTCCAAGTTGGATGTATCAATTTCACACTTCCTCCAACTTATGAGGTTTCTGATTGCTACAAATACATGTCAATATCTAAATATCATTTTTCAGCGTTTTAAAATTTATCCTGGTATGTACTAATATCTCATTGTGGTTTCACTTTTCATAAGCCTAATGACTAGAGATGTTGAACATGTTTGTATGTGACATTTATCTCCCTATGTAAGTACCTGTTCAAGACTTCCATCCACTTATTAAAAATAGTGTTGCTTGGGGTTTTTAAAATAGATTTATGAGAGTTCTTTACATAGTCTGGCATAAGCCCATAATCATATATATATGCACAAATATTTTCTTCAACTTAGGTTTTTGATGAGCAAAATTTTTAATATTTATGAGGTATAAATTATCAATTTTTCATTTCAGTTACTGCATTTTTCTGTTCTAGAATTTCTATTTCTTAAAGATTTTACTTCTCTATTGTATATTTTTCATGTTCATCCTTTTTTTAAAATTCCTAAACATAATAAGGTTGCTATTTTAAATTCTTTGCTAATTGCAACATATCTTTTGTCTCTGTGTCTGTCTATATTATGTTTTATTTCCCCCGTCTGTCTATATTATGTTTTATTTCCCCCAATTTCTTGTTTCTATGCCACTTTGTAATATTTTATTTTATGCTAAACATTGTAGGCACAATGTTCTTGAGAGTCAAAATTGTTTTAAAATATTTATTTAAAGCAAATTGAGTGTTATTCTGACAGGAAATTAATAGTGCATCTACTTGATTGTTAAAATAGGTTTATAGTATTTCTTATTCTAAGTCTAAGGTAGCCCTATTCCCAACATCTAAACTTTTAGGAACTAAACTGAATGTCTACTGTGTTTAGCAAAACTTCAGTTGGTCATGATCCCACCTCTTTAGAACTGTGCATCCTCTAGAATACATATTTACTTTTAGAGGTCGCCAGCCTCACTACGTCTTTCACTGTGCATTCACAGGTTAGTAGCAAAAAACTTAAAAACAATTTCTAGGAAGATTTTATTTTTGCATAGTTCCTTTCTCTGTGGTCCTTGGCCTTAAAAATTCCAACCCACACAATAGCCCTGAACTGCGATCTCTGCCTCCTAAATTCAGCAAGGCTATCAAGCTCTGCTTGGCAATCTGGAAGGCTATCAACCTTCCTGCTTGGCAATCTGGAAACTGCCTCCAGGTAGAGAAAGTCATGGTGATCACAGAGCTTACTTTGTGTGTTTCTTTTCTAAGACCAGGGCCCCGTGTTGCCTCTGGTGGAATGTCTAAAACAGTTGTCTCATACATTGTGCCCAGCTTGATAGCTGTTTATGGTGAGTGGACTATCCCAATGTTAGTTACTCTCTCCATGGCTGCAAAAGAGTCTCCCAAGATCTGTTATTCATGACAGTTACCATGCATCAGAAACACAAAACATGGGTGCTAGTCAGTGAAAGGCCAAGACATATAAAAGGACCTCAAAGGTTTTGTTTTCATTGTTTTAATAAAGACTCCATTTTAAAAACCTTGCTTTGCTGTTTTCAGCAACCCCAAAGCATAACAGATTCCTTCTGTATTATACCCTTCAGCTAAGTGGGGTTTCAAAGATAATATAAGCAACTCTTTAAAAACCCATTAGTACTTAAAAAGAGCTAAATACATTTTACACAATCAGGAAAACAAAAAACTATGAAATACGATTTTTGGAAATGAGATCTGAGCTATATATGTTGATCTCATTTCTTTTTCTTCTTTGTATTAAGAGCATATTCAAAGTTGAAGGTGAATTCTGGACTCTTAACTTTTTATAGTTTAAACTACAAGTATCCCAAGTTTTCCTTCACTGAGCTCGAGCTATTTGGCGTCCGGCTGCAGTGTGTACTCACGCCTAGCCTCTGCCACCCTCACACTTACACACACTCCCACATGGATGGACACAAACGGCCCTGTGAGAGCAAATCCCTCCCTTCCTTTGCAAAGGATGTAGAAAGGCAAGGATATCACAATTTGAAATAGTGCCATTTCCATTGTCACTATCCCTTTGTCCACATTCCATCATGACTTAGTGTCGCTGATTTTCCTGATATAGTATACATGAAACACACACACACACGCACTCACAAACCGAGAAACACAGTATTACTGATTTCAGTTTAAACCATTCAAACAATTAGCACAATCTTGGATAAAAAATAAAGACTCTGGGTGCAGAAACATGCTTCTGCTGCTGCTTTTGGATGGCCAGTTCTGCTCCTGTGTCTCCTGACTTTGTTAGCGGTGGCTGTGGAGCTGTGTCGGGAGCAGCAGTAGTTACAGACAGTGTCTAAAGCCTCCTGGACAGAGGACAAAATATAACTGAATCATGTTGGAGGAGAAAATAGCTAAAATTCAAACACTCTTTTACTAAGAAACCTTCAAAGGAATAAAAGAACAGACTAAAAAATGAGCTGAAGCAAAAGAACAGCAGAAGCAGAGCACAAGAAAAAGAGATCAGGAATAAGAAATCCCTTCATCTAGTTTAAAGTCAAAATGCCCCTTGGTGAAGTAGACCTTTAAGTGTAAAGAAGTGAACTAAACTTATTTGTGTAAATGAGGCAAAGGGGGCAGTAGGACGGTCTCCTTACCTTTCACACGCAGTTAACTCTGTCAACGGAAGGCTGATCACCTCACTTTGAATTGCTGGTTAAACCCCTGTCTTCCCTTTCTCGTCTGCAGTCTTTAGTTCGGGTAGTGCACTAGATATTCATTCCAGTTCTTGGTCCATGATTTGCCCATGATACTTCTGGGTCTTCTTTTGTGTTGCCTGAGCAAGGTAAATAAAAAGATTGAATAAGGAAAGGATTAAGAAAGTGACACTGAGAAAATTGAAATAATCTCTCTCAATTCACAGAGCAAGAAAGTGGCAGAGGCAGAGATCACATTGTCACTGGGTCCCTCTGTGATTCAAGGTTGTATTCTTTCCACTGTGCCTTATTCTCTTCCCTCGAGTTCTGAATATTTTGGAATGGGAGCGCAGTTGTGTGGGTGGTTTATGTTTGTACAAATTGGCTTTCCAGACCAAACATTGGCTATGTTTGTACAAAATCTTTCCAAAACCAAACATTGGCTTATGTTTATACAAATTGTACAAATTGCAGTATATGTTATGGACAATGTTACATTTGTTATTATTTAACAACTTTTAGTCAAAGATCATGAAATTAAGGATTAAAACCTATCATGACATTAAAGCAAATAGTACAGATCTAATTTCTCTTCAACAAGTATCTGAAACTGTATAGAGCTTTTATTAAGTTATTGGTGAATGAGATATATTACTCCAAAACAAACCTCTCTTAGCACCCATGGGAAGCAAAGATCCTATTATTTATTTTTAAAACAGAACTTCAATCAAAAAATCCAGAAAGATATTATTTATCACTACAAATATTATATTGTCTAAGAGGTGCCATTGACCTAGTTTTGCACTGAAGTGACCAGAATCTTGACCCTACTATTCATGGAGGGAGCATCTGGGGTGGTTTTAAGCCAATCTGCGCTGTCATGGCAGTATTGATTATTAAAATATTTAAATAGTTTCATTTTGATTGGTAAACATCAGCTATAATAAGCAGTAACATGATTTAATAATATAAGCTCCAGCACATATGGTCTCTCTCAAAAACCAAACATACACTGTAATTCCAGAACATTTTTTTTCTTTGATCAGGCACTGTGCACAGAGCTGAGGTTTTGCTCCCAAATTCTGCTATTTATTCCAAATATCAGGACGAGAGAGCCAGCTTTGCCACCAAACTGAAGAGAACAGATTCTATGATCTTCCACAAGAAATCCCCAGAATCTGCCCAGGAAAAGAAACAGAGACCATGCTCAGGTAGTAAATGAAGAGCCTGCTGAGGCAATTGTCAAATACAGGTGCTACACAGGGCTTTGTCCAGGTAAATTTTTAAAGAGCACTGCTCTTTTTAACAACTTATTTCCTGGTGGTTGGTGACCATCCTGTGAGTTGGAAAAGGTCAGAAGGGGGGTTGTCTAAAAATCTGCCAAATCACATTTAGTAGTTAGAAAAGCACATGTCCCAGGGAGCTACAGTGAAGCCCTATTTGTCACACTCACCTAAATTTGTCACCCCGTCCCCATCCACTTCTTCCCTATGCTTATCAGTTCTCCTAATCCTAGCAACTTACCAAGCTTGCTTGTCTCCTGGCACGTAACCCCTACCTTATTCAGTTATCAATAACTGTAATTGCACTTTCTCCCCTTCTTTATTTTCCTCTTTTATTTTTGTCCCAGTTAATATGTTGGCATCTGGCAGCCCCACCTCACTTGTTGACACCAACCTTCTCGTGATTCACCCCAGGGTGTTCAGCTGTCTCATGCTCCCAGAGAGCAAGAAAGATAGAAGCCCTGGAGCCAGGCTCTATAATCCCAGCAACAACCAGTCTTCACTCTCTTCTTGCCCTTCCACTCCTTCACTCTCATTCCCTCTGGTTCCTGTTTTTTGAATACTGGTTTTTGACTAACCCATAGAGAGAATGTATTATTCTGTTTTCACACTGCTATAAAGTCTTACCTGAGGCTAGGTAATTTATAAAGAAAAGAGGCTGATCAGCTCAGAGTTATGCAGGCTGTACAGGCTTTTGCTTCTGGGGAGGCCTCAGGAAACTTACAATCATGGCAGAAGGTGAATGGGAAGAAAGCACTTCCTCACATAGCTGGCAGGAGAGAGAGCCAAGGGGGAAGTGCTACACACTTTTAAACAACCAGATCCTGTGAGAACTCATTCACTACCACAAAAATAGCAAGAAGGAAGTCCTGTCCCATGATCCAATCACCTCCCACCAGGCCCCTCCTCCAACCCTGGGGATCATAATTCAACATGAGATTTGGGTGGGGACACAGAGCCGAACCATATCAAGGAGGAAGTGAAATGGAAAAGGAGGGGCAGAGACTTGAAGAGTGATCAGGGGAATCATATCTCAGAAGGAGAGGCTAACCATGAAGCAGCATCTACTAGTCAGAGAGGACCGCTGTCACCTAAAAGCTGACGAGTAAGTGGAAAATCATCAGAACAGATGGAAACATGATTCTGACAGGGACATTATTTATCTGGAAACTATATAAACAAAAGATCACATCACCAATTAGCTACTCCAAGATTACTTCTGGTGCGTTTGCTCTGACAATTGTCTTCTAATCTCTATGCTCCTGGTCTTGGATCTATATCTTTGGCAACAATAAAAGGAGGAATGTTTTCAACTCCACTGATGGAAGCAAGCAGTTTTTGAACTGATTATGAATCAACGCTGAGAATCCATTCAGTGAGAGCAGCAGTTGAAGAAACTTTTGTCCCTCACCCAACAGCTGCTTCCAGCCTTTTCTTCTTCAATATCAAAGCCCTAAATTTCTGAGAATAAAGATGCTAGAATTTTAATATACTTAACTTTCTTTTTTCCTGGAAGCTAGTACTGACCAAGGAGGAAGTCTACTGGAGGGTATCCAAAAGCATTTTTCTCCCATATAAAGGATATCTTCTAGAACAAAAGCTTTGTCAGTCCCCTACTCCACCCCATCCCAACCTCTGACCTTTCTTCGTATTTTTGACACATTGTAGCCTGAGGAGGGAGGCTTGGAAGCTGCTGAAGCCATCTTCTGACCAGGAAGGCATAGTGATGATGCACTGTAGATCACAAGCAGAAAGCCACAAGGTGCCTGGATCTCGGTGAGTTCTTGAGCTGCTAAACTGACCTGGAAAACACTTCTATACATATATGATTTTCCCTTCTCTTTAGTGCACCTAAAGTATTTTGTGACTTACAAATGAAAGCATCCAAACAAGCTAGTGCACCTTAAAGAACCCCATGTTGACCTGTGGCATGCCAAACATCCTATTTCCTTTTGTAACCGGAGTAGCTGTAGTTGGCTTCCCTGATTCCCAGGCCAGGAGTGGAACCTGGGCTGCCTGGGTTTGAAAAGCAGGAATGCTAACCGCTAGACCATCAGGGAAGTAGAGTAGTTATTGCCGGAACTTAGGCACTTGGCCTTCCTAACTGCGAAGAATGGAGAAAAGGGTCTCAGCAGCACAGTGAGTGTACCAGCTCGAATAAAACTCCTGGACCCAAAGAGTGTGCGATAGGGCAATTTATTAGGAAGAGCGAAAAGACAGCTTCCACACTGTGGTGGAAAGGGACCCAGAGAGAGGGTGCCATCCAGGATGGGGCAGCTAGAGCTTTTACCCCTGAGTTATTCCGTCCCCATTCGTGTTCTTGTCCAACGAGAGGGGTTCTTCCAAACTTCCTCTGTATTAATTGATCTTTGATCCTTTACCTGATTGGCTACTGTTTTACAACCCTTAGTCACAGAGCCCCCACCTCCAAGAGCCAGAGAGGAGAAAATCAGAGACATAGCCCCTACCTGGCCTGCCAGAGGCAGGAAAATGGAAACAAAGGGCCCTAGCCGGAAAACCTGAGAAGTCCTCCCTGGAAACAACAGCTGACCCCAGGAAGTCCCTCTAACACAGTCCCTCGCTATCATTTTGAGTGCTTAGCTTTTCTGATAGACAATCAGTAGGAGATAACGATTATCCCAGAGGAACTGTAGAATTTAAAATGATCATAGAAGTTTAGAATTGATGGAATTAGACACATACCCTCTCTTCTTCATCAGCACTCTTTTCTACCAAAGTGTTCTTGGGAGGTCATCAAGCTTCTGTTTAGTTTTCCTGAGACAGAGAATCCATTTTATCATGAAACAGCCCAACTCTCCTCTCCCCTTTATATAATTCAATTTTCCTACCAGACCATAAAACAACACATATTAGGAGAGAAAAAGAAGAATTCAGTAGCATTAATTATTTCATTAATGCACATTTTTAAAATGCACCGATCTGCAATGAAGCCACTTGAAACTTGGGAAAAGATAACGTGTGGAATAATATTATGTTTTTCTTGTATTTTTATAAATTATTAACACATTTTTGATTGATTTAAAAGTAAAGAAAGTGAACAAGATTAACATTATCTTGTAAATAACCCAACTAACACTAGTAATGTTATTAGTAAGTCAGCCTCACTGCACTCAAATTATTAATTAATGGGATGTAATTAAAAGATAAAAAGAAAAAATAATTTATGAAATATAATAACACTATGAAGAAATTTTATGGTATTTTTATAGCACTCTATATCAAGGAAGAAGCCTGCAGGGAAGAAAACCGACTACATAATTTAAAATATATATAACTAATATAATATTAAACATAAATATTTATCTAAGTATTCAGAACTTGGCTTCACCCAGCAAATTTATGATCACAGAGAATTTACACATTTATTTATTTTTTAAATGTCTTCTATTTTAGTTTCACTATTAAAATAATCAGAAGTTCAAAATAAAATTCACTGAAAATTTCCTTGGTTATGAATTTTATTTTGATGTTTGCTCAAAGTCCATTAAAATGTGTTCAGTGATTGATGGGCTGATTTGAAATTTCTTGCATGCTTGTAATGTCATCTTAAAATATTGTATGATTCTAACATTCCAAAAAAATTTTAATGAAACTTAATAGAGCTATTTCAGTGTTATTCCATCAAATGTGAGATTGCAAAATTGCAGTATATCTTCAGGCCATAGACGTGAGCCATGCTATATGAAAATAGAAAACAAGCTCAAGAATTTTATAGTAGAGTCATTGATCTTACAAAAGCATCTGTCTGCTGGGGCAGAGCCGAAACTCACACACCAAAACAGCCTTATATTATTTAGCACTCTTGCAATCTTCTAAGACACCTGTGCCCATCTCTTAAATCTGAAATAAGAATGTGTCATTTCAACCTACAAAAGTATCTCCAAAATACATATTGTGAATTACCACTTTGGGCAAAGTAATAGACAAGATAACTTGTATCCCAATTTTTTTTTATTCTTTGTATTTTACACAAAAATATCCAACTGAATGGTGAAAAAAGGGTAAACCAGTAAATCACATATTCAAGGTCATGTATCATTAATAAAAGAAATCTTTAACAAGTTATATATGTAGACATAGGCTTGGAATTCCACCAGTGTCCAGTTAAGTATCACAAAATATATTACCCCATCTGTTTTTCTTTATCTTTTTTAGGACTAACACTTCAAGAATTTACCCTTTGTATCTTCCAATTGCCAAGGACTGACTACCATGCTAAAGGTCAGCTCATCTACAACAATTCAGGTTTTATAATCTCACAGTTCACTTGAATAAAGACGTGCTGATTTGTGACAAATTGAGTTAGGTTAGTTTAGAATTTCCAAAGTAACATCTGTGAACTTTCACTTTAACATTATATGTTTTGTTATATTCTCATTTTTAGTATTTTATTTGCTACTATTACTAAGAAA